TCGACTGCCGCCTATTTTGTATTTTGTAACTGTACGTATTAATGCCACTGAAAAGCTTCAGCAGGGAAGAGTTAATACAGCTATTCTATTCTATTATTTCTGTCATCAAATCGTCTCGTGTTGACTCAAATTAGTACTTCACATCTGGTTCGCGCAAAATTCATGTTTTACCGATTTTCATTTTTTTTTTTTTGTTTATGGTTTCCCTGGAAATATCGATTGCCTTAAGAAATACATTATACCCAGCGTAAAACTTCAACCCATTTTCAATTAATGGTCTAATTTTCATGTCGATCCGACCGAGTTAAAAAGTGATTGAAAATGCTTGGTATGGTCCAGAAATAATATATTGAGACACCTCAACCTAGCAGCGAATTTCTTATTTATTTTAAGTCATTGTTATTTCCTTGTCTTGCAGAGAGCAGTGTTGATGTTAGCCGACTATTTGCTCTGTTTTCCTTCGATGTGATTATGCGCTCAGCATTTGGTGTTGAGGCAGAAATCCAAACAAATCCTGACCCAGATCTGTTGCAAAAGGCTTTGACTCTCTTCGACGTGCCACTTTACAACCGGGCTCTGTCCATGTTTCCTTTTTGGCAGAAGGTCAAAAAACTCTTCGACATAAATCCCATTCAGCATGTTCGTTTCTTTGAGAAACTTAGCCGAAACGTGCTGGAAATCAGGAAAAAGTCTCCCTCTGGAAGAAGAGACCTGTTTCAGCTTATGCTCGAGGCGAAAGAAGAAAACGTAAACAGAACCCAGAAATTGACAGATGAAGAAATCATCGCACAAACCATAGTCATTCTGGCGGCTGGCTTCGAAACAACTGGATCTACGTTGGCTTTTATTGCCTACTACCTCACTCTTTATCCAGAGATACAAGCAAGACTACGGCAAGAAATTGAGGAAGCCACCAGATCACATGACCATGCCTCGACGTTGGACTTCATCAATGGTCTCGAATACCTTGACCGAGTAATTTCCGAAGTCTTACGAATCATACCGATTGGATTCGTGAACGTTCGTCAGTGTAACGAGTCTTGTGTTATCAAAGGAGTGCATTTCCCGGCGGGTGTTGTTGTAAATATTCCTTCGTACGCTGTTCACCACGATCCAGCGTTCTGGCCTGAGGTAATTAACACTTATTTTTACTGAACAATAGGAAGCGTGTGCTTAGTTCGCTGGCCTCTGGATCGAGCCCTGACCGGGGACACTCAGTGGGTTGAATTCTTGGGCAAGACACTTAATTTTCGCATTGTCTCTCTGCACCCAGGCGAAGAAATGAGTACCGGCGAATTTAATGCCGGGGTAACCCCGCAATGGACTAGCATCCCATGAATGGGGAGCAGAAATACTCATAGTCGTTTCATGATACATAGAAACCGCAGATAAGCGCCGGATGTGATGGGCCATTTGGTTCGTATGCAGACTTAACTTTAACTGAATAGTCAGGACAAACGCGCTGTTGTTTTGCTTTAAAAACCAATCAACAAGAAGCCAAATCCGCCAACTTGATATCCATAACCTTTTCAAGTCGATCCATGGCAGGTTTCCCTCCAGAACTTTATTTGGTTTCCCTAAAATCTTTGTATTTATACTCCCAGATGCAACCGTGAGAATCAAACTCCGTGCTTGTCCATGTGACTGTGAAATAAATGATTCGTTTGAGTTAACTTGGACTCCTCTAACGGGCGTGACACCACGTAACTTTTTTTTTACTATAATACTTCCACACATCGAAAAAACGATCCCAAGAACCCCAGCATGCGCGACAGAATTTCTGAACTGGCCACTTGACAGTGTCATGAGAGTGCGTTTTTTTAAAGGAGCTATTGACGGCTTTCTAGTTTTTTTAACCCCCTGTTTTTGCTCTCTCCGACACAGCCAGAGAAGTTTGACCCAGACCGCTTTCTTCCGAGTGAAATCAAGAAGCGGCCATCTTTCTCTTATATGCCTTTTAGCCACGGGCCTCGCCAGTGTATTGGCATGCGGTTGGCACTTCTGGAGATCAAGATGGCGCTGGTCAAAATCTTACAAAAAGTCAAGTTTGAGAGAGGAGTGGGAACTACTGATACATTAGAGCTGAATGCTGCTCTTCTATTACGAGCACGTGATCCAATCAGAGTGAAAGTTGTGCCCATATTAGAAAGTTTGTAAAGAAGCTGGAGTAAGAGTTAAGTAGCTATGACTGCAGGGGGCTGGGGCCTATGTTCCTTGAAATAACATCCAAAAGCCGCACAATTAAGTTGCCTGTTCCGCAGAATATTCACACACAGCTCGAGCCGGATAGTTCCTCAAAATATGACAACAAAATACGATAACTCTTTGCTCGCCCAAACCCTTGAAGGACCCTGTAAAGAAACTCGTATAGTGGCTCTCACCTCTGTTAGGCTTAGTTAACTCCTGGGACCCGTTTCTCGAAAGCCCCGGAAACTTTTCGGGCCAGTAAAGCCATTTTTAGTTCTTGTGTATCTAAAAACGAAGAAGTGTATACGCCTGAAACTTCTCGTATGAAGGGAACCTCTGTTCATATTAAGAATATGTGAATAAAACAGCTCTGTAAGG